CACCTACCCGCTCTGTAGGACTCTAGGACTTTTCCACCTACCCCGCTCTGTAGGACTCTTGGACTTTTCCACTTAGATTCTACCCCGCTCTGTAGGACTCTTGGACTTTTCCACCTACCCCGCTCTGTAGGACTCTTGGACTTTTCCACCTACCCCGCTCTGTAGGACTCTTGGACTTTTTCCACCTACCCCCGCTCTGTAGGACTCTTGGACTTTTCCACCTACCCCGCTCTGTAGGACTCTTGGACGTTTCCACCTACCTCGCTCTGTAGGACTCTTGGACTTTTCCACCTACCCCGCTCTGTAGGACTCTTGGACTTTTCCACCTACCCCGCTCTGTAGGAATCTTGGACTTTTCCACCTACCCCGCTCTCTAGGACTCTTGGACTTTTCCACCTACCTCGCTCTGTAGGACTCTTGGACTTTTCCACCTAGGTTCTACCCGCTCTGTAGGACTCTTGGACTTTTCCACCTACCTCGCTCTGTAGGACTCTTGGACTTTTCCACTTAGATTCTACCCCGCTCTGTAGGACTCTTGGACTTTTCCACCTACCTCGCTCTGTAGGACTCTTGGACTTTTCCACCTACCTCGCTCTGTAGGACTCTTGGACTTTTCCACCTCGACGGACCCTTGCTGCAGTGTATTCCCGGATCACACCGCCCAGGTATACAATCCATACTTCACCAAGTCTCCCATCACGGAACTCCGCCATTCTTTATTCCAAATTTGAATTCTTTGAAATTATCTTTAAAAAAATAACACTTTTTTTTCCTACATTATAAAATAAATAAAGCTTCCAGGGTTAAGTTTCTTGTGCAACTTTTTATTTTTAAGCTTTCGGACTTGTCAGTCCTTCAACAGGATTATCACGTTAACAACTTAATAATAAATACAATTTTTATATACACATTATAATACATTATAAAGGACTGCGGCGTATGATTATAAAACAACACTTAAAGTTTCACCGCATAAGTTTCTTTTCTGTGAAAAATCAATATTTATTTCAAAGAGAAATATTTACTATTTCTAACTTTTTTGGATGAAGTATGAAAGGGTGAAAATATGAAGAGTAATGGCGAACGGAAAAATAAAAGTGTCCAGGGGCGGGAATCGAACCCACAACGTTCCGCTTACCGGGCAGATGCCATGTCCACTAGGCTACCCTGGACGTATTTTTCCGTTCGTAAATAATACTTAAAGTAACTTATAATACATTATAAAGGACTGCGGCGTATGATTATAAAACAACACTTAAAGTTTCACCGCATAAGTTTCTTTTCTGTGAAAAATCAATATTTATTTCAAAGAGAAATATTTACTATTTCAAACTTTTTTGGATGAAGTATGAAAGGGTGAAAATATGAAGAGTAATGGCGAACGGAAAAATAAAAGTGTCCAGGGGCGGGAATCGAACCCACAACCCAGGGTAGCCTAGTGGACATGGCATCTGCCCGGTAAGCGGAACGTTGTGGGTTCGATTCCCGCCCCTGGACACTTTTATTTTTCCGTTCGCCATTACTCTTCATATTTTCACCCTTTCATACTTCATCCAAAAAAAAGTTAGAAATAGTAAATATTTCTCTTTGAAATAAATATTGATTTTTCACAGAAAAAAGAAACTTATGCGGTGAAACTTTAAGTGTTGTTTTACACATTATTATATACATATTTTAAATACTTATTATATATTGAGAGAGAAATATATTACATTATTTCTGTTTGTAAAACTAAATTTTTTGAAAATATTTTAATCGCTTTTCTACATTGAAAAAAAAAAAAAACTAAGGTAAATTAGTAATTTCGTTAATGAGAATTCTTTTGTGTATTTACACAAATATTTTTATCATTTTTCCCATAATTATAAAAGCGGTGAAACAATCGCTGTGATAGAAAATTTTCCAAAAACAAAATGATGAAAGTCAAAACTTTTAAAACGCCACGGAATCACCGATACATCATCTGTAGTCACGTGACCACACTCCCAGCTGACGGAGGAAAGTCAACTGTAGAGCTCTATATTTCTCTAAGTAGTTTTACATTTTATAAATTCTTCTCTTGTCGTGAGGATACATTAGACAGACATTCAAGTTTGAAATAATGTTTTTGTTATAAATAAGGTATATTTAAGGTAGTTGCATAGTTACAAAGAGATATGTGCATAATAAAAATATATACACTCATAGACAAAACTTAGGTAGAAAGTCTTTGATGTCGGCGGTCGTTTTTTTTTTTTTTTTTTTTTAAGGAGACAGAGACTGTTCACACTTGGTTATCTGTCTTCAATAAAGGTCACTGTAATATCTTTCAGAGTTATTGTCTCAATCCCGATATACATGTTAAAAGGTACAACTTCCTTAAGTTTTGTCCATGAGTGTGATTTGATGAATATTTTCACAAAAGGAATCTTATTATACTACTGTAAATATAGGGCGGTAATGTCAAGTCTACATATTGGATATTGAAATTGGATTAAAATACTGTTTGTTTTTTCTATCAAAGTTTGAGACAGTTAAATCCTGAAACGCCCTCTGTATATGGGTGATGAGGGGGTAACCTTGCTCCACATTTCAAACTGACAAAATACAATTAAAGCTTCCTGTTGACCTCTTGAAGCAAAATCAATTTTGGGCATCCATGATTTCATCCAGCTCCATGAAGTCATTCACGGTGCCCGTGAGGTTCTTCACATTCCTAACTAGGCACTTGATTATTTCTGTTCGCTGCTCAATGAAGCGAACAAAGTCCAGGTAAAGAGCTGCTAGGGAGGGCTGGCCGAGGGATTGCAGGGTTTGGTAGTGGCGGGAGATGACCATGTTGTCTTCTTCAACAAGAGCCACGATGTCAACAGAGGGTTGAGAGGGCTTGTTGGCTTTCTTCTTCTTGCAGGAATCCATGGCGGGAGGGCGTCGGAGCGTTGAAGAGCGTTGAAATGAAAATAAGCGTTAAATATGTAACTGTAGAATGGCGCCAATATATGCTGATCCTGGTCAAAATGTAATATTTCTTATCATTGATTATTTAGAAGCCTCAAAGATTTATCAGCTATCTCCTTCCAACGTATAAAGATCCGATATTTCAATACCTGCCATTTAATTATTCTGATTTTTTTTTTCCACTTTAGACACCTTTCTCTTGACTTATAGAAAAACAATATGCAAATATTACGATGCACTAGCGCACCATTCGAAGAGTCTAGCATCAGTATCACTATAAAAGGAAGTTCCAAAAATGCAATATAACAGCGGTATGGTAGATTAAACTGGCGAAACCGCTAGGTGGGTTCACCACTGATGAGCCAGGCCCTCCCTTTAATTTTTCCATTGCAGTAAAGGCAGTAGAAATTTTAATTTCAAAAAGAATATCACGCGTCTAAAATAGTTTCGTAATTTGATAATATGCTAATATATTTAAGGAATTATGACCATCATGACTGAGTGAAGTAGAATGTCATTAAGACTAGGACTCAGTAGCAGCCACTAACTTAGCTCCAATATGTAATGTCTGACATGAGGAACAGACACCATGTACAGCCGCTCCTAACATGGAGTACATCCTGGATCTCTGGAGCCCTCACAGGGTCCTAGAGATAAGAAAGAAGAAGAATTAAAAGATTAAAAGAAGAAGAATTAAAAGAAATATGTTTGCATATCCTCCAGCGCATATGTAAAAAAGTTATTTAAGAACGGATTGATATGCAAATCAAACTCACTGCTAGGAGGAATGTGTAGAGGTAAAACCCGGGGATGTAATTAAACCTGGTGTGTTTAAGAAGCTTTTTCCAACGGCTTCAGCCATTGTCGTTTGCACGCCGATCACGTACTGCGCCACACTCACATTAAAATTTAAAATTCTAATTAAATCTCGGCTTTTTAAAAATTCATGGCCGTTTGCACCTCGGCGTTGGTGGTGTGACACCGCGGGACTGGGTTGGACTTTCTATGTTGTCATGTCAGGTCATATTTTCACGTCATGTCTGGTTGCCACGCCATGTTGTCAGGTCATGTTGTAATGTCAGGTCAAGTTGTCACGTCATGTTTGGTTTCCACGCCATGTTGTCACGTCATGCCACGCCATGTTGTCAGTTCAACGTTATCGCCAGTCAGTGTAAGACAGACAGCACGGCGGAGTTACCAGAAACGTATTCAGGAATCTGCCGTAATTGACCCATTCGACGCCAGCCTTCTAGGACTTGTATGGTAAAAAAAAACGGCCTTCCGGTGGTAGTTTCACCTAAGCTCGAAGATCCTTTGCCCCGCGCTTCCAATTTGCTGAGTCAGTTTGTCCGGACCGATCGCAAGTTTGCTGAGGTCAGCCTTCTTCCTATTGGTTGGTTTCACACACTTTCTGAACACAGCATTCCCCTGCACCATCCACAAACTTCCTTCTTGAACAAATGTACATCAAGTATCCTCAAATCATATCATAGATTGAACAAAGCTCAATATTTTAGCCTGAACCTTACATCTCTTTGTGTGTGTATGCCTAATACTAAATCTTTACCCAGACATCACAGTAGTATTAACTAAACATAGAGTAGATACATACAATATTGGATTCTGATGCACCAGCGCGCCATCTGTTATCAAAATTCAAAACTATTATAGAGCGCGTATGATTCTTTTTAAAAATAAACAATTTCTACTGTCCTTACTGCAATGGAAAAATTAATAGGAGGGCCTGGCTCATCAGTGGTGAAACCGTTGGGAGGATTCACCACTGATGAGCCAGACCCTCCCATTAATTTTTCCATTGCAGTAAGGGCAGTAGAAATTGTTTATTTTTAAAAAGAATCATACGCGCTCTATAATAGTTTTGAATTTTGTATATTTGTTTTAAAACAAATAAAGCTTCCAGGGTTAAGTTTCTTGTTCAACTTATTATTTTCAAGCTTTCGGACTTGTCAGTCCTTCAACAGGATTATCACGTTAATATTTGTGTTAACAAAAATACGTTGAATTCGTGTATGATATCATACTCATTATTAAAAACGACATTTCCCCAGAAACTGGACATATTTAGCGATGTCGGAAATTTCCATATTACTATCTGTTTCTTTATTATAAACGATTTTTTCTCGATCACAAAAACGGAAGTTTGAGTCATCTTTCTATGAAGCATAGCCGTTCTTTCTTGGTGGAGCCAGGATTTGCCTGGTTAGTTCCGATAACACTCTAGTCTACTAGATAAGTTTACCGTTCTTAGTGCCGTGAGCGGGTTTCCTCAGAGGATCAGACGGCTTTTAGCCGTACAGAGCCACCAGGTCTCCCACAACTTGCTACAGTCACGTGGGTGAGTGAGCTGCTAATCTCCCAAATGTCGATATCGCTCCATTTGGACCAGACATTGCCTCAACAAACCCTGTAAACATTAGTAACAAAATGAGGCGGTAGATGGCGCTGCTAAGTGTCGCCACATTACAGCAGGCGGCCATTAACACTGCGAGGTAATGGTTCAGGGAATCAATGGACGCGACTTTTAATTGGTGCTTTTAACCCACGTGATCACGTCATTGATGGAAGCAAGAAGCCTACGTATGGTTAGCTATATGTAAATATGGTATATCTATGGAACTGCTATACCGAAAGATTGAAGAGGAAAATTGTGAAGACAGTTATCTTTATTATTAGTGTCCCAAGTACACGTGGTACAGACCATGATAATCATGGTGGGCGGTTAGCACTGCTTTTAATGCAGGTACACCACTACAATGCTTAAAATTCTTCCCTAGGGTGTCGGTGGAAGGATGGTCCGTTGGTTTTCGACCGCTACGAACCGGGATCGAATCCCGCCTTGGGCACCTTTTTCTGATTTAAAAAAAAAAATACTCCAAAGGCCCCCGATTCTTACAAAAGTCCAACCCCACCAACGAGTGCAAGTAACTAAACGGGGCTCTGGCATATTTGTAAGTGCAAAGTTGAACTGTTTTTCACATGTATAGACATGTGGTGCACTTACAGTAAAAGGCAGTCGCCTACTTCTCCTCACCATGATTATCATGGCCTGTACAACGTGTACTAGGGATAAGTAAAAAAAAATCTTCCCTGGATAGAATGTTTGTTTCTTTGGAAGAAAATCTTCCCTGGATAGAATTGTTTCTCTCAAGTGATGTAATGGATTATTAATTTTGGAAGGGAGGGATGTATCCAGAAAGCTCCAAACTGGGAGCTGAGTGATGTCCTCAGGTGGTAACTGAGGTGGACGGGGAGTGCCACAGGGTGACAATATCTCCTCCATTTTATAAAACCCCGTAGAGATATAGGGCTATAACGTCCCACCTACAGTATGTACATTCATGGACAAAACCTGAGGAAGTCTTTGTTACCTGTCTTTTATTTATTTAAGGAGACAGAGGCTTCCAGGCATTACCGTCTACATGAGTACAACAATGAACGTCTCATTATTATCCATTGTTGTACTCCTGTAGGAGGGTGGTTTTTTTTTTGCTTATCCCTAGTACACGTAGTACAGACCATGATAATCATGGTGGGTAGAAG